CTTCATCTATAGCGTGGCCACGCATTTTCACAGTCCGATTTTCACGAGGGGTCCAGCGACATCTCTCCTGTTAAGGAGGTGACAAGTCCCATATTGCATGTCTACTATCTCCATATGATTCTTGAACATATTTGATCAATGCCGTTATAATCATCCGGTTAAAGACGACGTTTGATGCAGTCAAGACACGCCACTCCTCATATCAGATACTCTAGACATCTCAGGTCTGAGGATCTAAGAACGAACCGTTGTATGAGATTCAAGTCTTGACTCATGTCCATATGACAATCTCATGCGGGTCATCCAGTCACTCGTTCCAAACGAGTACCCATGATTGTGATTTGCATCCAATGCATATGATCATCATCATCAATCACACATCATGCTGGTCTTAATTCATCATTTTTCTCATAATGACAACTGACCAGGGAGTTTAAAATAATCTGCAATGATTCATGGATATTTACTGAAACATAACAAACATGCCAATCATATCACGGGAAAAGTAATGCATTATAAACCAATGAATCAATACATAGTCTAAATGTCATATCACGGATCATCGTAGAGCATTACAACCAACACCTTCTTGATTGCTTTACAGTTCATCTTGAAATTTGTAAGGTGAGCATTCGGGTCCTCGTTAGGTCTCCCACGGAAACTCATGTTGTTGAGCATTTGAATGCATTGTGGTAGGAGTTCGAAATCTTCTCACGGTCCCCGGTTGATGCATGATAGCAACTGAGTATGCTTCGATTGTGTGTACGTTCGAAGCGTTCTAGGGGCTACTTGGGCTGGACCTCTTTGGGCATTGGCCCCTCTCAACAAATCTTCGGCCATTTCGGGTTGTTCTCTTCATGCGTTGTTTTCTCTCAGCATTTCTTCGGCCATTCCCCATTGTCTTTGCTGTCTCCTAGCGAAGGGTAGAGTCCTTTCTATTTTTGGGTCGAAGACGAGTTGATCTCTACCGGTTGTGCTTCTTGTCATACACCGGAAGAGCTGCACACCAAAGAGACAAAACGAACCGAAAGTGTTGTGAAAAGGTTATGTCACAAAGTAATCCAAGTAATGGTGATCTAGCAAAAATCTAGACTAACATGAAAACGCCTAGTCCCCGGCAACGGCGCCAAAAACTTGATATGTACGCACCGAGTCTTATATTTAATACCCGATCCGTACCACTATCCGCAAGTATATGGAAGTTGTAGTACCGGGGTCGAACACGAGGACTAGGATGCATTAGTCTATCTCTAAGCTAGAATGGAAATCAAATAAAAATATGAATGATGACTCAAAAACATGTGAAATATGGATCCTAGCTCACTTAGAAACTCATTGAGGGTGTTTTTCTTAGTGGGAGCTTGTCATATTGTATCTATTATCTGTGATTAGGGGTGGGTACGGGTCGGGTACCCGGGATTTTTAGGGTACCCGAACCCGAACCCGAAAAATAACTTATTTTGAAACTCGAACTCAAACCCGAATTTCCGGATACCCGAAATGTATTACTCGTGAGATAATTTTCGGATACCCGAATTCGAAAAATTTTAATTTTTTTTTTAAAAATTATAAATTTTTAAATTTTATACAAATAATTCATAAAATTAAGAAAATAATTTAAAATATTTATATTTAAAATGATTAGATTAATAAAATAATAGTTTATATATATATATAAATATAAAATTCAAGATAATTGATAAATATTTTTATTAATATTAAAAATTTTAAATAAATAATATTTATTTTTTATTATTCGGGTACCCGCGGGTAATTACCCGACCCGAAAGTGTAAACCCGAACCCGAACCCGAATTTCGGGTTTTACATATTTTAAAACCCGATCTCTATCTCATAACAACGGGTATCCGATTTTCGGGGGTCGGAACGGGTACCCGATTTTCGGGTAATTTTGTCCACCCCTATCTGTGATAGTATATGTACTAAGCGACTTGCATGTCTTTCTATCTGTTTGTTTGTCTTTTTCTGTAGAATATGATTGTTGCAGGTAATTGATGCGCACGCACCGAGTCTTATATTTAATACCCGATCCGTACCACTATCCGCAAGTATACGGAAGTTGTAGCACCGGGGTCGAACACGATGACTAGGATGTATTAGTCTATCTCTAAGCTAGAATGGGAATCAAATAAAAATATGAATGATGGTATGTGTTGGAATGGAAGCAAACAAATAAGATTAACGGTTTGTAAATGATGATTCGAGGCGTTGTAGGTTCGGGATCCCTCAAGAATCGCATGGACGGTTAGTGATGTTGCAATGCCTATGGGTTTATCCTCCAAAAGGGGGTTTCAAGCACTTCTTCTAGAGTTTGTCTCTCCCGAGCTTAAACTCACTACCTAGAGAATCGATTCACCCATCTCCCAATGATCTAAATGACCTCTAGATGCATTAGTGTACCCTATCATGAACCCTAAGCAAGCTAAGCTATCTCCCAATGTGAATAACTCACTCATTTGACATTTGGTTCCAAACATCATTCCCATATCCCTATGATCAATGTGTTCTATGGTCATATCAATAAGGGTTTCATCCAAATTAATAGCATTAAGCCTAAAGCATCAAACCCATGGAAGAAAACTCAAAAACATCATAGATAAGCATAGGTGTCCATACAAAAGTGGGGATCCCTCACCCACAACAAAGTTACTACTCCATAACTAGATGTTCAAAACATGAAAAAAAAAGGGGAAAACATAGAAAAGGAGAAGAAATGCTCAAGATGATGTTCAATGGTGATCTCCTCCTTCAAGATGTCTCCCTAGATCTCTAAATCTCTCTTGCCCCCTCTCCAAGGTGATTTTCTTCCAAAAGTGTCGAGTCCCCCTTCTCGCTCCTCAAACTCCCCTTTTTATCCAAGTGCAAAATTAGGTTTTCTCCTCAAAAATCGGGCTTTTTCTTTTTGGACCGGTTTTGATTTCGGACGGTCGCTCACTTTTTCTTCAGTGTCGCCCGTTTTCTCTTCAGGGTCGCCCATTTTCTTCGTGTCGGGCGACCTATCATCCTGACGAGTGATCGCTCGTTCTTCTTTGTAGCACGGAGCGATCGCCTGGTGTAACGAGCGACCGCCTGATAGCTTGAATGTCACGACGGGCGACCGCTCGTGAAAGCAGGCGGGCCGCTCATTTTGTCTGATCTCTTCTGGACTTCTCGAATCCGCTCCTTTTCCGTGCCTTGTACGCGAATATCCTCTTTTGATCGTCCTGTAAGGAAAAGGAGAGAAGAATTCCTACCCATAGCCAACTAACGTCCTAATAAGCTCAAAATGTGAGAAGAGTTGTAATACACGACGTTAGAAAACCGGTGGAAAAATCCGTGCGATCAATATACTCCTGAGCAAAATGGTACTGTTGAACGAAAACATCGATACCTCTTAGAAGTTGTTAGAACACTTAAATTTCAAGCAAAATTACCTACAAAATTTCACCCTGGTCCAATTTATCACCATGTATTCGTTCATCCATATTGTGTATGATCCTGTAAACTCATCTACACAGCAACAAACCCGAAATCCAATTTCAGCTCACAAATCACAATTGGTCTCTTGTAAATGTTATGATTACCTATGATAGTTAGAATTAGAGGTGATCTAACCAAAGTTGGTAATAGATCAAACGATGGTCTTTTTGTCATGCGATATCATTTGTCGAACAAAAGAAATGGAACCAGTCACCTTATCGGATTCAACTCCTTTTTCGTTTATGGGGTAGATTGAGTAAATATAGACAATTAATTATTTATAGTGTTGTCACACATTTTCACAGTCCTACTCAGACAGGTGCCCAACGATATATCTTTCGTTTCAAAAGGGACAAATCCTATTTTGACTATCTAGTCCTTATACATAGCTCATAACGTGTCTGAGCAATGCCTTTATAATCAACTTATTACACACGACGTTTGACGCAGTCAAAACAAGCTATTTCACATATCAGATATATAGATATTTCAGGTATGAAGATCCAAAAGCGAACCATTACATAAGATTCAAATCCTAACTCATATTCATTTGATAATCTCATGCGGGTTATTCAATCCCTTATTCCAAATAAGTCTTATGAAAGTGATCTATATCCAATATATATAACCATTTTCATGATCATCCATCATGTCTCATAAGAGTCTTAATTCATCATCACCCCTGCGATGACAAGTGATTAGAGAATTTTAGGATCATTCAAAACGATTAATAAATTGCATTATTTATCAAATATATAAATATATAATGAAGAAGAACAAATGCATTTATTCAAATGAAAGTCATTACAAAAATATAAATTTTAATGTTGTAGAACATTATAAACACTTAAATCAACAAAAAATCATATTTTCCATAATTTTTTTATATTTATTAACTCTTACCCTCAATAAGGTGTAAATAATTGTTATAAATTTTGTTTATAAGCAAAATTTTATTTTTAATAATATTAATATGCCCCAATGAGTATTTTTTAGATCTAACACTAGACATATACATGTATAATTTTTATTTCTATTTTAAAATTTTTACGGTCCGAACTTGCATAAACCATTCTTTCACACATACCGTGATCAAGAATATTTTTTGTGTAGGATAAAATTTTGTAATCAGTTTAAATTCAAGTAAAGTGTTAAACTACGGAATATATAGAAATCAATTTCTAGATACATCATGAAGATCATCAGTGTTTAAACCAGCTGTCTAAAAATATCTATAAAAAAAATTGTACATATTAGTTTGTTTCTTTAGATTCATTTCTCCTACAAAAGATTATTTAATTTTTTAAACCAAAAAAATTATTTAATATTTTTTCTATATGTTTTTTTTGTCTAACCTTGGTACAAAGGGCGTGCCCTTCTTTTACATAATTTCATAAATACGTGGCGTTTAACTAATGGAATATTGCAATGCGTGCCGTTTGTATATGGAAAACCCGACATGAAAGCTGCTTGTGGTTGCTACCACGGTCATCCCGATTAACGTAGAAGAAGCTCAGGTTTCATTTTTGTATTCATAGTCCTTTCACGTTCTTCGAATCTCAGCGAAGAAGAACCCTAATTTGATCTTCAGAGCTCCACCCATTGGCTGCGATGCTAGCTCGGAGGTGTCTCAGTGCTCTTCGCATCCGACATCTAGTAAGAAACGAGCACTTTCGTTTTGAATTTTCCCGTTTTTTCCCTGTGTCGTCTCCTTCCCCTTCTTTCGTTTGCTCGTTTGACGAGAAAATGCTTCGAATCTGCTGGAATTTGGGAACCTATATTCTGTTTGTTTCGATTCATTTTTATTGTTTCTGTTTATTCGGATTATTCGGATGGAAATTTTAGAGGAGACTGATATGTTTAGTGGGGTTTGGATTTGTATCTCCTGTCCGAAACCGCATGAAGTTGTTCGATTTCTGAAAAAGGGTAAATCCTTGTTTATGATTTCTGTAATCTGATAGGTTGTAAACGAAAGGCTTGGGAGTGAACGCTCATCGACTGATTTGATTTGCTTTCGTTTCACTTTTCTTATGATTTGATGCTATTCCCTGAGAGACAAGAGGGTATCAGCTTCTTGTTCCATTCTTAGTTAACATCTAAGCTGTCTGATTGAAGATCATTTCGCTAGTTAATTTTCCTTTGTATAGATTCACTGTTCTTTCTCCAACTCGCCGCAGTGCATGTGATACATATTTTCCCTCTGATTTGGTGTTGCCTCATCTTTGTTTACAGGCTACGTCAGGGCAAGGCTTGCAGGGCTTTCATGGTTCTGGGCTGCAGTCTCGGGCTATGTCGTATGGCACCAATAAAGGCATGTTTCCTTCTTCTTTCTTTTGATTTTCTTGTGAGTTTAGTTTCCAAACGAAGGTAACACATTTCGATGGATCTCGGCATATATTTATGGTCTGAACTGGCTTTTTGGCGAAGAAGAAGCCACAGATTATTAGCTACTAAGTTGTATCGTGACTTGTTTGAAAAATTACATATCGACTCATTGGTGGTTGCCCATCTAACCTGCAGATGATGAAGAAAGGGAGCAACTTGCTAGGGAGATCTCCAAGGACTGGAGTTCTGGTAACTTTGTTTATTCTCTCAAGATCATTTTTCTTATAATGTTATCTTTTTTATTTTATCTTGGATCATTTCTTCCTCAAAGTGTTGATGATTCCCGATATATTAAACATTTTTTTCAGTGTTTGAGCGGAGTATAAACACCCTGTTTCTCACTGAAATGGTCCGGGGTTTGTCGCTGACTCTCAAATACTTCTTTGAAAAAAAAGTTACTGTAAGTGGCTGTCCTTTCCCAGTCTTCATAACTTAGATTGAAAGAACAAGTTATGATTCTGAAGCTCTTACCTCTGTATGTATTCAGATCAATTATCCATTTGAGAAGGGGCCACTGAGCCCTCGCTTCCGTGGTGAACATGCTCTTCGAAGATACCCAACTGGTGAAGAACGCTGCATTGCTTGTAAACTCTGTGAAGCTGTAAGTTTGATATCTAACTCTACGATTTAGGATCCTCTTCTTTTTTTTTCTTTTTTTTTTTGCAGAGTTGTTTATATTGCTCTTGTTATCAGATATGCCCAGCTCAAGCAATCACGATAGAGGCGGAGGAGCGTGAAGATGGAAGCCGTAGAACCACCAGGTTACCCCCTCGTTCCATTTTTTCGATCTCAGTTTTTGTTTTCGTCTCCATTTCTCTCTCTTTCTCTCTCTCTCTCTCTCTGTAGATATATGCATTTTATCGTGTGAACATTTCTGATGATCAGTAACTGTACAGATATGATATCGACATGACGAAGTGCATCTACTGCGGGTTCTGCCAAGAGGCTTGCCCGGTTGATGCAATCGTAGAAGGACCCAACTTTGAATTCGCAACCGAGACACACGAGGTTTCATCACAAAACGTTTTAATCGTCGTTAATTAACAAACACAGTTTAGCATGAACTTTCTGATGATGCTTTCCTTGTTCATCTTTTAGGAACTTCTGTATGACAAAGAGAAGCTTCTCGAGAACGGAGATCGATGGGAGACAGAGATCGCGGAGAATCTGAGGTCGGAGAGCCTTTACCGCTGATCATAACTACTCGTCGCCAGTCTTTGCCATCTAATAAGTTTCATTTCTTCTGCTAGAAATAAAGATGAGATTTTTTATATAAGGTGCAGAGACCATATGCTTTGAGAACTCTCGTTTGTGTTCTCTCTCTGCATTTTCTTTGAGTGTTGATTGAATCCTTGTGTCATTCTATATTCAAGCTTTGTGCTGTATAATCAAATTTCTTGAACCTACTTCATGATTTTTCCCTTTTGGGAGGAATTGCATGCTGGCTCGGGTGTTTGGAGAGGGGGG